AATATGCATCCATTTTCCTATGAATGACTCTAATTTCTCATTCTTTATGGCTAAATAGTATTCCACTTTATAGAACCACATCTTCTTTATCCAGTCTCCAACTGATGGGAAAATGGCTGTTTCCAAGTAAAATCTTTTTATTGATATGTCAAAGAATGTCTTTTTTTTTTTTTGGTACCAGCAATTGAACTTGGGACCTTGTGCTTGCGAGGCAGGTGGTGGAACCACTGAGCTACACCCCCAGCCGAAGGATGTCTATTCTTTTTTTTCTTTTTCTTTGAGACAGGGTCTCACTATGTAGTTCAGACTGCTCTGGAAATCACTGTGTAGCCCAGGCTGGTCTCGAACTCACAGTGATCCTCCTGCCTCAGCCTCCCGAGTGCTGGGATTACAGGCGTGTGCCACTACGCCCGACAAGGATGTCTATTCTTAAAAGGACTGCTTATAACACCTAATTTCAACTGAAAAACAAAACAAAACTGCCAGAAAAAAATCTGCATATTATTGTTATCTAAAAATGAACTCAAAATGTAAATATATAGGACTGAAAAGAAGGTATTTTTAAAGTATTAAAATGAGCTTTGAATATGAAATACTCAAAACAGAAAATATATTGAATTAGGAGAAAATAATTACAAGCATTATTCTCAAGAACTAGTTGGGACAAAGAACATATTAGAACTGTGGGGAGACTGATAGTAATACTATATCAACAACAGGGTATAACTGCATGCTAATATATGCATTTGTATAATAAAAGACCTCTAAATATTTAAAAAGTCCATAATAATCTTGATCACCTGATACATCTGTTTGAACTCTAATGAAATAATCATCTTTATAAATATATTTTTAAATGCTGATACTACCTATTCTTTTATTTTTTGCTTTTCCTTTTATTTCATTTTTTCCAATTAAATATAAACAATATTCACACAGTGATTTGTATTTTATGACACTTTTCAGCCTATAATTTAAAATCTTTATGTATATATGTACGGATTTATTTATTTATTTGTTGGCACAGGGGATCAAACCCGGTCCCTTTTGCTTGCGAGACAGGTGGCAGATCCACTGAGCCAAATCCCTGGCCGTTAAAAGCATTAGTTAAAAAAGAACTATTTATCCTTAATTATGGGATTGCTGCTTGGCCTTTTGGGTAGATCAAGCGTAGTATCCTAACTTATGGTAATCTGTTGCTTTTTTCCCTCCACTCATACTTTTTCACAATTTGACATTACTTTTGACACAGTTACTATATTTGACAAAATACAGAAAACACAAATTTACTGAAAAACTGATTTCTGTGTATAGCTGACAGTGAAAGTTGTACATTCCTATGTGATAATAATTAGTAGGGTTTTCCTATATGGTTGTCAGTAAAGTTATTAGAATTAAAGATGATTTTATTTGATGAATTGTTTGTGAGAGCTGATTTAGTAATATTATATCACAATCTTATTATTATTTATTGGCTTGTATTATATAGTATGTGGGCCAAACTAAGCACATTCTAGTTGAAAATATTTTGAATTTTAAACTCTAAATATTGAGGTTTTATCTTCACTAAATATCACTTAATTGCATTTCTGCAGATGTCAGAATTTATAACGCAACCAAAATCAAGCCCCAGACCTCCAGCTTGTTAGAAATTTAAATGGATATTGAAAACAAAGATATTTCTACATAGAGTGGCAAATAATGGAAATAAAATGATTTCCAGACACTAACAAGTATGCTTATACTGTTTTATTCTTACTGCAAAGCTCCATTTTTTACTTTTAAAAAGGTCTAAAGACATGATAGAAATGGTGATGCATCTGTAAACCTCATTATGCAATTTATGATACCTTATTAAATATGTTAAGCTTTATTAAATATAACAGTTATCTAAACAATTAACAAGAAAATTAATGGCTGATACATAACCACATCTTAAGCAGCAGCAGAGAATCTTTAAGGATTAAAATCTATTCATGTTATCTAAGGGTGGTAAATACTTTGTAACCATAAAGTAAATGAATAAACTATGAAGACTATGACTTTTTATGTTTAAAAATAAATTAATAAAATCTATCCACAGTAATTATAGTACACTATATTCATGCTATATTCCAAATGCAACAAAAATTGGTGACCACATCTTTTAAAAGAAACAATCTTAAAAGGAAAACAACTCAAAAAAGTAAGGTGGGACTGCGAATAGAGCTCAGCAGAAGAATGTTTGCCTGACATGCACAATACCTTGTGTTCAATCCCCAGTACTTAAAAAACAATTAGAGTAATTTTTTTTTTTTTTTGGTACCTGGGATTGAACTTGGGACCTTGTGCTTGCGAGGCAGGTGGTGGAACCACTGAGCTTTACATACCTGGCTCCGAGTTAATTAATTTTTAATAGTAAGCTAGTAGTCTGATTATTCAAAGTTTTAAATATACTATATTATACTTTCTAGCCAGGGATTTAGCTCAGTGGTTCTGCCACCTGCTTTGCAAGTGCAAAGTCCTGAGTTTGATGCCCGCTGCCGAAAAAAAAAGTATAAAATTATATTATACTTTCTAATATCTGGCACATATTAAACTTGCAAACAAATTACCTGATTACTCCTAAGTTATCATAGATTGTTGTAAAAAAAAAAATCCAGCTTCCTTCTACATAGAACTCAAACTATATATTAAAACAAAACATGACTCTTCAGTGCAGGGCAATGGTTTTACAGTGCTCGTAGAAGTTATGTAAAACTCTCCACCTTCCTCTGTACCCTTATTCAGAGGAGGACAAAGACATCATAAGTGAGAAGGCTTTTGTATTCCTGCTCCAAATAAAGCACCAAGATTTTGCCTCTTTCTGGAATTTCTCAATCAAATTCCTTTGATCACTAGGTTCTATGGTTAAACAATAAAAATTTAAACAATTAAAAACTGATTAGTTTCCTCTTTGTTTTTCCCTGACCCACTACAGTGTCCACTTTACACAAGTGACAGCAATACACTGTTAAGTGAAAGACTGGGGATAAAGTTTGGAAAAAGTTGTGGAAAGGAAAGGAAGCAATGGCATTGTTGTGAAATTCATGTTAAATAGCAGTAGCCTATCCAACTTGAATATGTACTGGTCCTTAAAATGCTTTGGCAGACTAAAGAGAAAATGTGTCTAAATTCAAAAAACTGTTCTCAAGAGACATAGACAAGGATTAGCATCATTTCAACACTTGATGGTTTCCAAGAACACATGTAGTCTTTGTCTCTGTTTATCAAATGACTGGCAACAGACAGTGAAGACCCTGGAATTTCTATGACATCAGGCAGTGAAATGTGATTATCATTTTTCATATGTTCATTGTTGCTAATGGTAGTAACAAAAAATGTACAGGACACTTTCTTTCAAAAGAATCTTTAAAGAAAACCCAATTCTATTAAGGCAGTTAAAAAAAAAGTGTGCATAGTTTGCAGAATGCTTTTATAGTGCATATATATGAAATATAAAAATACATCAATGGCCTAATAGCAATATAAAACTCTCAAATTCACAAAGCTCTAGAAAAGTCTTCCCAATGGTTATACAAAGGGTGATCAAAATATGCTGTAAATGTTTAAATACATTATCAGCATAAAAGGCCTGTTGCCATTAATGCCTCTCAAAATATTTCCCCTTGTTTAGAAGTTATCCCATCATTCCTGCTTCTTTCTGAATGGTTCTGTAAATATTCTGTCGTGAATGTCTTTATGATGTGTGATCGAAGCTATGGTAAATGCTGCTGCAGAGGGCCATCCAACAAAAAGGCAGGCTCATAAAAACATCATGCTGCGCACTCATCCACTTTATTCACTGGATTTTGCATTGTGCAACCTCTGGCCCTTCCCCAAAGTCAAAATGATTATGAAAAGTAAATGCTTTGAAACAATTCAGGCCACTGAGATATCCATGATAGCACAACTACATCCCAGAACTCTTTTAGAAAGTGCTAAGAAGGATGCGATAAGTGTTTTTGAAGCAACTGAAAGGATTATGAGCAAGATGAATGGCAATGTGTCTTTTACTATATTTTAAAAATTTAAACATGCACTAATTTTTAAAAATATATCTAATATGGATTTAATGCTTATATAATATAAAATATGCTTGTTCTGTAATAAAATATCTTCAAATACTTGGACTTTAGTTAGAAACTTATTGGATGATTGAGAAACTGTATCAAAGGTTTCTTTATTCCTATCCTTAAATTAAGATTTTCACACATGAATATGATTTTTTAAGTTTTAACGATCAAAGTTTTCTTATACAAGATTTATTTGTGATAGCAAAGGTGAAGGAAAAATAGGAACAATAATCTGGAGGGGGAAAAGTATATCCTCTCTTAAGGTGGACTATATAGATCGGACATCTCATGAAATACGGATACGAAAGTTAATATATGGAAATAATATTTCTTCATTAAAAGGTTCAATTGACATGCCAGGATCTACTCATCTCTACAAATCATTAATAAAACCTACTTGCTACATGCACCATGAGAAACAAAAGGCAGAACAGTGGTATTTTAATGAACAATCCCTACATGGATCATAACAAATATTAAGCTCAGGATAAAATACGATAGTGAAAACCAAGTAAGAAAAGGCTTGTTGGACAGACCTTAGTTTAAATTGTAACTTAGCCTTGAAAGGTAATACAACTAAAACTCTGATTCTTTCATCAATAGTAAGAAAAAAACTAAGGAAATAACATACTATGCCTCCAGTTTTAGAAGGCTGGTAAAAATAAACAAAAACAGACACAATGATACAGAATTGCAAGCACTGAATCTCAGCATCTGTACTTCAGACACTGTAAACGAGGATTCTTACGTGAGCCAGCAGCTGGCTATTAACAATCATATTTTTAGGCAGCCTACTGCTTCTCTGGCTCTCCCCCAGGACAAACCTTCAGTTAAACAGCTTTAAACAACCCACGGTCCAAAACTGGTCCTCAAACATTAAAACAAATCCTCAACTAACACACTCACCTTTCTTTTTTCCTTGTCTTTGTTCTTGCAGTGGTTATCATTCTTCTTTGAGTCATACAGGTTCAACAACTTTTTTTTTTTTTTTTTTTTTTACACTAAGGCTTGCTAAAATTTCCTTTGTCAAACCTCAAATACCCATCTCAAAACTTTTAAATTTCCAATTTCCAGTTTTCTGTAAAGATACCAAATAGATTAACTTTCCTAAGAGATCATTTCTGCTGGCTCACTGCACTACTGCAGATCCCCCTATTACCTCGACTGCAGTTTTTCAAAGTGAGGTCTGTGGGGTACCTATAGCAGAATTACCCACACATCTGTTAAGATGTACTGGCCAAATCTATACCCACTCAGTTAATTTTCTTGCAGTGGGACCCAGCATTTCATAAGCTCTTTATTTGGTTCTGATACTCACAGAAGCTTGTATATTAACTATAGAATGAAGCAAACACTACTACCACCAAACAAATTAGGGGTTTAGTGTGAGCCAGATGCTGTTCTTAAAAACTTTATAGGAATGAAGCTTATTTAATATTTGTAACAACCCTATGAGGTATTCTTACTGTCACTATCAGACAAGTGAGGAACAAGAGAGAGATTAAGGTGAAGTAATGTGCTTTAAGTTACACAAGTAGGTGAGAGAGAAGATTCCAGCTTACACTGTGCATCTAAAATCTATTCCCACCACACCTCTCCCAGGGGGGAAATGAACCCAGGATCTATATTCCCAGCCCTTTAAAAAAATTTTTTTTGGGTACTGGAGTTCGAACTCAGGACCTTGTACTTGTGAGGCAGGCGGTGGAACCACTGAGCTAAATCCCTGGCCGCCCTTCTAAATTTGGTTACAGGATCTTGCTAAGTCAAAGTTTACAGGCTGGGCTTGAACTAGTGACCCTTCTACCTCAGACTTCAAGAGTGCTAGATCTATGTTTTTAAACACTATATAGATTGCTTCAGACTATCATTTGAGATGTCTGAGTCTCAAGTCCCATTCCTTCTGGAATAAAGTCCTACAAGTACCCATTACGAATGTGCTCTTTCATCCATGAAGATTCTCACTTTATCACAGAGGTCATGAAAACCTCTGACTGAAAATCAGCTTAAGAGGACATTCATCATGTTTTCTGATAATACATCCCGTAGAGCAATCTCCAGAATAAACTTACCACAAAACAACTTGCTGGGTTTTTGCCTGGGATTATATTTTAACCTCAGTAGTCAAGTTGAGAAGAACTGATATGTAGGGGATATTGAGTTCCTATCCATGAACACAGAATTTCTCTCTCCATTTTTTTACCTTTAAAAAAAAAAATCACAGCTTTGTTGTATGCCTAACACAGATGCACATTATTTTGTCAGGTTTATATCTAAATATTTATATTTTAGAATAGTAGCACAGATGGTATTATTTTATTTTTTATTTTTATTTTTTAGGTACTGGGGATTGAATTCGGGCCCTTGTGCTTGCAAGGCAGGCCACCAAACCACTGAGATAAATCCCTGGCTAAACGGTATTATTTTAAATTTAAGTTCCATTTGTGTGTGTGTGTGTGTGTGCGGTACCCGGGATCAAACTCAGGACCTTGTGCTTTCAAGGCAGGCATGGGGCCACTGAGGTAAATCCCTGGCTATGAATCCCACTTTTTATTGCTGGTACTTTGGTTCATGGATTTAGTTTGTTCTACAATTTTGGAAAAGATGGTCATGTTTGTGTTTGTGTGGGAAAGGTGGCCTCAGTTGTGTTTGTCACCCAATGCAGAGTTTGAAAAAAAAAAATCTGCCAAATGCTTCTGGCCTTATTGCATTAGATAGGAATTACAAAATAATGCTGCAAGTAACAAAAGTGAACACTTTACTTTTCTTTGTAATAAAACAAGCTCTTCCTTTTTTGTCATTAAGTGTAATACTAGATGTAGGTGTTTGACTGACTGATTGATTGATTTTTTTCAGAGGAGGCAGTTTCTCCCTAGTTCTATTCTGCTGAGTTTTTAATCACAAATGGGTGTTCCATTTTGTTAAATGCTATTTTTGTATAGCTTAATAGAATTGTGTTATTTTTCTTCTTTAGCCTGTCAATGGGGTGTATTACACTAACTGATTTTGAATGCTGATGAGTCTCACATATCCTGGTAAGTCCCACTTGGTCATAGTGTATAACTTGAGCAAATGAAGTGTGGCACCAGCCCACAGGCCCCAAAGCTAGTTGAGGATACCACTGTGCACAGAACGGCACAAAAATAAACACTGCTGCAGCAAATACAGGTCTGAAAAGCAAAACATATGTGTGGAAACATAACAGGCCCCAATTATGACTCACTATCCCTTCCCATATCTAGTGGATTTCAATAGTTTATTTCCCAAGTGACAGAGTAAAACAAACTCCACAAATTTTAAATCAAACTGCCTTACTTTTATAAAATTCACAGCCATCATACTTCCAAATACTTTTCAATTTTTTAACATCCCATAGCTATCAGAATACTGTAGCTCCTGCTGAGATAAAATTGATGCCATTTGATATACTTAACTATGAACCTCTTGCTCAATATACTAGCTCAATTTGCTTTTTATTCTTAAATAAAATATTGTCCCTGCAGCAGAGGAACTTTCATTAAAAGTACAATTTGCAAAAGATTCTAAGACGAATGGTCATTAAGCCAAACAGGATTAAATTTTCTGCCTGTTATCCTAAAAAGCCAAACAAAAAAAGCCATCAAATTCAGTATCAATTAAGGCAAATAAAGGGAAATCAAAAGTATTCAGGTCAGGTAACTTGTGCTCTCCACTCAGAAGGACACCTGTACCCCATGAGAGTAAACACCCTAGCCAATTGCTCCTTTAATGTCTGACTGAAGAGGAATGAATTCAGTTAAATAATTTATACCTTACTGTGATAACTGCAAGCCTCTGTTATCTTTTCATTAATACTGTACTAAGAAATGTGTAGTTTTTGTTTTATTCCATTTGCTTATGTGGATGAATATATAAAAGCTCCTTAAAGATGTATGTCTTACACAATTCAATTATTTTCTATACAGTCTGGTAGAATAACTTCACAATTAAGGAAAATTACCAGATTTTATCTACGCTTCCAAATTAGACAAGGAACAAAAGTTTAAAGGGAAATCCATAAAAATATCCATTGCGTCAGGCCTTGGGAGGCTGAGTCAGGAGGATCTCAAGTCTATAGCCAGCCTGAGCAATTTATTAACTGACTGAGACTTGGCTCAAAATTAAATAAACAAATTAAAAGGGTTGGGGACATAGTTCAGTGGGAAGGCCACAGGCTTGATTCCCTGTATGGCCAACAAAATAAAACACAAAAAAGGAAAGAAAACAAAAAAATCCTTTTGAAGATCACCAATTCTACAGGGTGGGTGAGGGGAAATGGAGATCATGTTTCTAGTACCTCACAGCTAAATCTTCACTCTTCTGATACACAGGTAGCACTGGATTCTATTTCTAGTGATCTTAGATTCAGAAAGCGATGTGGGGTGGATTTCTATATTTTAACTGGTAATATTCACAAGTATTACAATGAAGAAAGATACCTTACATTTTGAGAAAGTGTCAGATGCCTATATTCCAGTTTAAGACATACACTTTAAGCACTTAATGTCTACTAAACCTGATTAAGAAATGAACATAACAGTGGCTGTGTATACTTTATACAGATTACAGTTACTATGTTATAAAGTAACTAAACACATTCTAAGTTGAAACAAAAAAGTCCAAGGGCTCTTATCTAGGATGGAAATACTTTAACTATCATCCTGATAAGAGATTAAACAGTTGTGAAACATTAAAATAGACACAGTCCTACATTAACTCTTAACAAGATTATTTATATTTAGTAAAGTTTTTCTTTCTGGTACTGGGGATTGAATGCAGGACCCTTGAGCTTATGAGGCAGTCAGCAACACCACTAAGCTAAATCCCCAGCCCAAGATTATTTATATTGAGAAAAGAAAAATGAAAAAGCTGATATCTAATTCCATAGCCTTACTATTAAGGTAAATAATAAAAATGCAAGGTAATTCCAGGTAAGAATTTTGTAAAACTCTTTAGTTCATTTCATTTTGCACTTCTGATTTACAAGACCTCTAAAAGAGCTGCAGGGTTACAACTCAAACAAATTGACTTTAGTTATCAAACTGGTCTACATGTAGTTAGGAGAATAAAACAATTATAGCCTTAGAGGCTCTCAAGCTTTGATTGTGAATGTTGTGATTTCTTAACATACAAGGAACATTTCAAAGAACTACTGTATAGACCAATGAATCTTATATAAGTAGACACTCAGAAAAATCAAGCCTTTAAGAATAATGTGCCATGAGGCTTGCAATAGCTAAAATTTGGAAACACCCAAATGCCCATCAATTGGAGACTGGATAAAGATGGGTATTTCCATAAAATGGAGTACCACTTAGCCATAAAGAATGGGAAACTAGAGGCATTTATAGGAAAACGGATGCATATTGAGGCCATACTCGTAAGTGAAATAAATAGGACACACATGTATAAACAGCAAATAGTTTCTCTGGTGTGAAAAACTAAGTGTAAATAAGATTCAAATTGTGTAACTGATAATGTGAAATAGGAAGAAAAGGGCTACAGGTGTAGGGGAATTGGGAGGGGTGGGGGAAAGGAAGTAAGGGAAAAGAAAAAAATGTGAGAAAAGGAAAAAATGGAAACAAAATCATTGTAAATAGGGAAGGGTGGAAGGGGGAAGGGTGGAGGGGGTGAAGGGAGGGCAGGAGAATGGGGAAAAATAAGAACTAAGATACATCGCGTAAAGGTAGACAATCCCAATGATGAATGTAACTGTACTGTATTCCTAAAAAGTACCAATAAACTCAATGAAAAAAAAATATGTCAGGGGTTTAGCTCAGTGGAGCTGCCTGTCCTGCAAGCGCAAGGTCCTGAGTTAAAAAAATGGGGGGCAACTTGCCAAATACAGGAAAAAGTTAACTTACTCATTGAATGTAAGTATGAAGATCTGCACAACAGTTCCACAGGAACCCAGATATTCATGATTGCAGAATCTCGACAGGAAAACACTTGAAATGTCATCTTGCCTAGAACTGTCACTGGACACTTCTGGAAACTCATCACCCACCTGTCATCTTCCTGAACACCACCTCTAAAAACAGAATTTCCAAGCAAGCAGTCTATACTATGCTATTTCTAGTCTACTGTTAGTATTTCTTTGGGTAAAAAAATCTGCCCTCCTAAAGCTTTCACTCACTAGTCCCTATTCTACTTTCTGGGAAATAGAACAAGTCAAATTAGTTTTCCACCTGAAAACAAAGAAGTATCTGAAGCAGTTTTTTTTTTGCTACTGGGGATCGAACTCTGGTCCTTGTGCTTGAGAGGCAGACAGGGGAACCACTGAGCTAAATAAATCCCCAGCCCTGAAGCAGTTCTTGGGAGTTCCCTCAATGACATTCTCTTTTTCTGCACAGGGCTAAAGACGTTATACCTTCACAGGTTTAACAAACTGATAGAGAAGAATTTTTAGTCCTCAGATATGCTTGTTTACATGCTCAGTATTTACAAATTTTATAAAGAAGCATAGATTTTTCTTTTGCAAAACACTTCTTCTGGCAACACTGGACTGGTGGCAGTGAGCTGCGCCAGAGCAGTATGCTGAATACAACCGTCTTTCAGATAGGATACTCTGCTGTAGCTCAGTACTGTCTTTTCACCAATCAAGTAACATCTCTTGTAAAGAACCTATCTGCCCATACTATCTAGAATAGCCATTTCACCCCTCACTCTCTTCCTCTGTATCTTTCATCTAAGAAAATTATCTCTCTTTTTAAAAGTATCTCATAAAGAACAATGCTCTAGGGTATGGTGTCATCAATATCAAGTACCAATTTAAACTTGTCTCCTTTGATTTGGAATATGCATATATTACCTGTAATTTTAAAAGCAGGTCATTCATTCAATATCATACACAAAAAAAGCCTATTAGTTTTTATTGGCAGCCCAATATTGTTTTGACTCACTGACCAACAAATCTCTTTCTTAGTCTTTGTCAGACACTATAAACAAGTTTCACGCTACCTCCATATGTAGCCATTTCTCTCATTGAATGACTATGCCATTACTTAGTAAAGCCAAATTTGGTCCTCTGTATTTGTGTCTGTTATGTTTTGTCTTTTAGATGAACGTAAGACTTTCTCCTAAGTCAAATAATGCTACACTATAATAGATAGCAGCTACAATATAACCTATTATAAGAGTTTATGCCTACCATAAATACGCACTAAGCTATTTTCTCCTGTAA